TCACGGCTGTACAAGTCACAACGGCATTGTTGAAGACACTAATTATAAGGATTACAGATATGCTTGAGAAGGTGATAGTAGCTAAGCTCTCCATTATTGCGCATATAATTCCTCGTCACTGAAACCCATCCTGAAGCCACTTGAATCGAATCCACATATTCACATCCTATTTCTTTATAATAATTATTAATATTATCCTCCCATCTATTATTAGTTCTATCAAGATACATTCAAGTCTTCCGACAGAAAATATTATGGGCATTTCCATTCTCTCCAAAATAAATTTGTGTCTAACTAAAAATGTCATTTCGTGTACCTTGAAGATTAAATCAGCATGCTCCTCTCAAAATGTTGGTACCTATCTACCAAAATAAACGGAATCACGCCCTAGAACAGTGTAATCTTCATGCTCATAGCACTGGGAACAATAAATATGAAACAGCCCTACCTAAAATTAATGTGTCGTTCTATTACATTTAGGGATTATCAGAAATAATTGTGATAGTAGTTACGGCGCATGCGTGACAAACCGATGACGGCTTCTCTACAGATTACCGCAAGTATCACAGGTAACCAAACCACCTCTCACCCTGCTACGCGCGTCACAGCGTCACAAATACAAGAACTACTTTTCATTAGAGTATGTAGGCCTCCTGCATTCTTCGTATCGCATTACCTAATGTTCAGACAATCATTCATCCCTTCACATTGTATACTGAAAAAACTGTCCAGTAAAACAATCACACAGAAAGAACCTGGCGCTAATAAAAGCAATTAACGTACTGTGCAGCACTAAATTAACGTCTGTTAGAACCTTGCCACACTTCTCTTCATACATCAGCCGAGATCTGACTCGATATGATTCATGTAAATAGTATATAAAAGTTCAGTTCGTACCTCACAGGAAAGACATTACGTCTCCACTACAGAGTACAACCGGTTAATGCTGTTTAGGGAAACAGTCGCTGTTTACTGTGAGAACCATACGGAACACACAAATAAACTGCTTGGACAGAATATGTAACCATTCTGCCCGTACCTCATAGGAAACACATTACGCCTCCGCAACAGAGCCAAACCGGTTAATGCTGTTTAGGGAAACAGTCGCTGTTTATTGTGAGACACTTTATGGAACACACAGATACACTGTGTGGGCAGAATACATAGCAATTCAGTTCGTACCTCACAGGAAACACATTACGCCTCCGCTACAGAGCCCAACCGGTTAATGCTGTTTAGGGAAACAGTCGCTGTTTATTGTGAGACCCATACTGAACACACAAATACACCGTGTGGGCTAAATGTAGAAATTAATAATGTTAAATCAGGTGATATGTATAGTAACTACTGGGCTTTAAAGAGCTTAACATCGTGCACTTCTTCACAACAACGAACACTAAGCGCGTCTGGTCACGGTTAGGAAATGTAGCGGGATCAGAATTTCGATATTTTACACTGGAATATCCGGCAATAAAGATATCAGTAATCACTTAACCCTTCATAAGATTCGAAATTACTGAGTGCTTGGGCTCTGTGCATCGTTCGTTATTCTATACACACTAGAGAACACAACTTTTCAGGAACTGCATATGTTCCCGTCCTCAGGTTGGGGGGGGGGGCCTACTCTTTTGAGTCACTTTTAAAGAGCTGAAGTTCAAAATGCCAGTAATTCCGAGTCAGAACCCTTTAGTAAGTGCCTTTAAAAGATGGCTGACTGACTAACTACAGTAGTTGTTTGTAGCATATCTGCAACTGTCAGTATAACTGCCATGAGGCATCAGTACAGGGTCCCACATGAACAGCTTCCCTTAGTTTCTTGTCGGTCAGAAGAGGCAATTCCTGTTCTATGGGGCCAAGCTCACTGTATAACATTTTAAGAGCCAGTTCTTACAACGAAGACAACACAGCGCACTCTACTAAAAACTCGATAATATTTATGGAAACAGTCACTGCTTATTCTTATAACTGCAAGAACACAGCTGAACTCTATGGACGAAATGCTGCGTTACCTAACTTAAAAGCATACTCATTCATTCATGGAATCGAGCCATTCTTGAGAAGCCGCCAATTGTGCAGCTACTCAAGAAATTCCCAGTATTTTTTGGAACCCGAAAGTTCATTACCGCACTTGTCCTTATTCTGGGCCACATCGATCCAGTCATAGCATCCCATCCTATCTCTCTAAGATCCATTTTAATATTATTCACCCAACAATGTCTTGGGTTTCCCAGTGGTATCTTTCCTCCTGGCTTTCCCACCACTATCCTACATGCATCCCTCTTCTCCCCCATACGTGCTACATGCCCTGCTCATCTCATCCTCCTTGACTTGATCACTCTAATTATACTTGGAGAAGAGTATAAATTATGAAGCTCCTCATTATGCAGTTTCCTCCAACCTCCTGTCACTTCATCTCTCTTCGGTCCAAATATTCTCCTCAACACCCTGTTCTCAAACACCCTCAGTCTATGTTCCTCGCTTAATGTCAGAGACCAAGTTCCACATCCATACAGAAACACAGGCAAAATTATAGTTTTGTATATTCTAATATTTATGTTTTTGGACAGCAGACGAGAAGACAAAAGGTTCTGGACTGAATGGTAGCAAGCATTACCCGAGTTCAATCGCCTCTTAATTTATTCCTGAATCAGGTTTCGATCTGTTATCGTTGTTCCCAAATATCTTAATTGTGCCACATTTTCAAAACATCTGTTTCCTATCTTTATGTCATCATTCTGCCCTGAATTTTGGTGATGAGAAAGCAACATATACTTACTTTTCTCTGTGTTTACTTCTAGACCAACTCCTTACTTGCGTCAATTAAAGTTTGTGTGTTTTTCTTTATGGTATCTACATTATCACCCAGTAGATTCACATCATCGGCATAGGCCAACAGCTGATGTGTCTCGTTTAATTTCAGTCCCACCTGGTTTCCCTGGACCTTCCTAATTGCCTATTCTAAGGCAAAGTTGAAAAGGAGTGGCGATAAAGCATCTCCTTGTTTTAGACCATTCTGGATAGGAAATTTATCAGACAAATGTTTTTTTTCTTACACGGACTTTACTATACGTTTCGTTTAAACACATTTTAATCAACCTAACTAGTTTCATGGGTATCCCAGACTCTATCAGAATATTGTACAATACTTCCCTCCTAACTGAATCATATGCTTTCTTGAAGTCTATGAATAGCTGATGTCCTGTGTCATCGTACTCCCATTTTTTCTCCAATATCTGACGAATGCAAAAGATCTTATCTGTAGTTGATCTGCTATGCCGAAACACACACGTATAATCCCCAATAATTTCAAACGTAAAAGCATATGGTATATATATTTACCACTGCATATAAAGCGTTTATATCGGTTTAAATTACAGAAATGTGGAACAGGATCACTCACTAAGATTAATGTTTATCAGCCATCTTTTACTTAAGGATGGGGAACACTATCATGCCATTTAGAAGAGCCGAGAAACTCGGTACGTCATGAAACACACGATAATTAGGAAAAAAAAAAGGTCAGTGTCTGTGGACCTCCAGTCTGTCAGTCAGCACAGCTCAGCAGCTGCTGTCTCCCGCCCCTGCACATCAGCCATCCCCCATTTCCTCGGGGTAATCATTCGCTCATTCAGTGTTACTCTGCCCGCCGCGGCTGCACCACGCGGTAGCCGACATCCCAGCTTCCTCGCACACGGTAAAGATGACTTCTCCATGTAATCCTCTAAAACACGGTGGTTACTATATCTACCATCTCCTTTAACGTACGGAAACTCTGCCGTTGCAGCATTTGTGTGTTCCGTAAGGTTCTCACAAAATACAGCGATTATTTCCTTAAACAGGATTAACTGATTGGGCGTTGGTATGGAGACGTAACAGGTTTCCTGTGAGGTACGAACTGAATTTTAATAGTTAAGATGAATTTGAGGTCTCAAAGACTTAACGCAAAAACATTTATGGATATTAAAAATGTCAAAATGTGATAATTTGATAAAAGTATATATTTAACAGTAAATATATAAAACAAAATTCAAAATGAATCTATGTAATTCTGAAACTTTCGTAGCAGTAAACACGAAAAATGCCGTCTTCTCGAATGGGACGCCGTGTAGTGTGGTATAAATTTACTAACGTTTCGGAGGAACCTGTTATCTTGCTCCTCAGAGTACTTATACAACATTAAGAAACAAGGGAAAGCAAGAGCACTCTTTGCCAGACTACATGGCGTCATACCCCGAAATAAAGTAAGTAATCTTCAAAGGGAAAGAGCTTCTAATACAACATATATTACCCCATATTATATTTCCACACCTTCAGAAACACAAGTCGCAGACAGAAGCTGTGGCGATTTCCCGGGAGTAGGCCGGATGAGAACAGAGCAGGACGGCAGCAAAATGAACAGATAGAAATCGACGGTTTCTTCAATAAGAATAAAAGAGGAAAAAAAAACTTAACCAAAAAAGTCTTTAAATGTTCAAATTAACTGAGAGAAGAAAAACATATCTTGAAGCAATACTTCTTAAAAAAATATAATAAAACAATTATTTACGCCTCGTTACGAAACGTCGCGCTTGAGTGGTTACGCCTCCTGGTTTGCATTCTGAAGACCCCGGTTTCAAATCTCGACCACGTTACCGGATATACTGACCGAGATATTTCATGATTTTCTTCAATCCCTACAGGCAAATACCGCAATAGTACACCAAAGCGATCCAATGCCGATATCTCCATTCAGTAATTTTAAATTAACGAGGCCCGTTTTCTAACCATCCTACCAGTCCAGACGGAATTTTCTGGGCTACTGAGACCGCCATTAAATAACCGCAAATAAACTTCTACCACATCGAAAATAAGGGATAGACTTGGATGGTTCGTAGGAACGTACTGCTTCCATCTTCAGTGTAGAATAATAATTTGAGGAAGCAAATAACAAATAGGCAAGCGGCCTGTTTACCGAGAACCTCAAATCTCGCACGGAAATGTATGCACCGTGAAGCTCTTACCATTGCAAGCGACGTGATGTGACAGGAGTTTGCAGACTCAAGAACGGAGTGTGGGTTCCGATGAAGATGCTCCTCAACATGGCATCCGTTTAATGTCGCACTATTACCATCTATCTAATCACACGCCCTGAAGACAACCACTTCCATGCTCAGTGGCCATATGCATACATTCGGTCGTAGTCATCACACACGAAGCCACGTGACGTCACAAGAACACACCTCGACTGCCTACACTTGCATTGTTATCCTCATGGCGGTTATTATTGTTATGCTGGTGATGTGTCTTTCAGCACACACTAGAGCACACGAACATCACCAGTCAGGAGCGGCACACACACTGAACCGAGCCAGAGTTCCTTCTTACAGCCGGACAGCAACAGCCTGCAGGTATGAGCTGCCTCTCCACAGTACCAGTAGTTGTCAAGCAAGTACGTCTCTCTTACTCACTCTGACATGCTCTTAACTATGCTTCATCTCTCTCCAACACAGAATCTTCCTCTCTGAGGCGACCCGTACTATGACAGCGGGTACAGTAGGATAGCACCTGGCGACCTTCCCTCCGCGGATTGTCATGTTGAGGTTATGTTCCTGGGACAATGCTATTCAAAGGACACATACATAATGTTTATCCAGGGTTGAGAGTCCTTTGTCAGCGATGGTAGCTACAGGAGGGTGGATTCTTGCGAGACTTGCTGAAGGCACAGGAACTTGTTGAGGGTGGGCCACGACCAAAACAACTTCTCTCGTTGTTGCAGTTCAGGCAATTTCGTGAACCAGTGACATAGCTGCAGACAAAGTTATTGCCATTAAAACGGTAAAGTTGTCCCTGGGCTTAACTAATCAAGCACTATGCCATGAAGGCGTATAGGTGGGGTGGATGTATAGATCAAGATTTTCCTGACATCGGCATTAGTTCGAGGTGGGTGGTGAGCTTCACGCCCCGGCCGTTTTACCCCCAAGGGAAAGAGACCCCTCTACCCAGTGGGCAAGATGCTGGGTGGGCCCCAGAGCCGGTCTGAACGACGTGGAGAAGGAAAATTTCTTGACTTCACCGGGACTCAAACTCCGACCCTCGGTCGTTCAGCTAGTAACCAGTAGCTATACCGACTGAGCTACCCCGGCTCCGGTTTCTGATGTTAATATTATGAATTCGGAAGGACGACGTCACAAAAAAAAAGCTGACCGAGTGTCATGGCTGAAATGTAACTATTTCTGCTTCCTGTACGAGAACAAAGGAGCCAGGATAGCTCAGTCGATATAGTGATTAGGTCGTGGGATGAATCAGGGTTCAATACCAGGCAGAGGTAAAAGACTTTTCTCCGGCGAATCAGGGAGTACCGGGAGCACGTTCCATAGGGGTAAAGCGGCCAGGGCGTGAAGCTGACCACTCACTTTCATCTAGTACCGAGGTTAAGAACGATGAAGCTATACTTCACTCCATCACGCGTTCTCACTTCATTAAGCACAGAAACAAGATTGACCTTCCTGACGCGAGAGGCGCCAGCATCGCTAAATCATACCGAGTGACGCTTGTGGTTCACATCACTGCTCTCAGTCTCTGCATCGCTGACCGATTTGCTTGTCAGGCTCACTCTTCTGTCCTGAAGATGGAGGCAAGAGTTGCAGCAGAAACGTTGGTAGATATCTACTCTTTCATTTATTAAATAGACATTTATCCCCTTTCCATACATTTTTAATTTTAACTTGGCCCAATCATGTGCACCACTTACCATTTCTCGCTTTACGAATTTTAGCAACAGTTTTGATCTTGTTGGGTTCCAGGTTCTCTCAGCGGTAAGTATGTAGAGTTTGGGCCGTGCCATAGCTCAAGCGGTTAGTCGCTGGCTTCCCACCGCGGCGGCCCGGGTTCGATCCCGTGTCTGGTCAAGTGTGATTTGTGGTGGACAAAGTGGCGCTGGTGCAGGTTTTCTCAGAGTACTTCGGCTTCCCCTGCCAATCTTCATTCCACCAATTTCTCCATAATCACCCTCACCTATCATCTGGGGCTGGTACAATAGGCCAGAAGTGGCCGCAGTACAAGGGACTTAGTCCCACTCCACTAGCAATAAAAAAATGTAGAGTTTGTACTGGATGGATAGAAAATTCCGGGATATCTCCACTGCATCCTCATAAATACTTTTCAGTCCATAACTCATTTCTCATATTACTGTCAGAGACCATAAGTCTGCCTATTGAAACACGGAGGCCTTCCGTCCATGAGGAGCTTGACTCAAGACAGACAGCAAGGCTTGTGAGCCAGTTTGGGCAAGGACACAGGGTAATTATCCGGTTAACTAAGAGTCGAAAAGTTTAGAAAGGTAATTTGGGGACCTCCATAAAAAGGTGTTTCATATAGTAGCCAAATATCAAAGTGGAAATTATTTTAAGACTGGAGGTTTACCGACAATCGGTTCGTCTTGGCGTCAAGCCCCTTGAGACCCACGACCAGTGATTATTTTTCAACTGCACCCTCGCGATCATAGTCCCTATGTAACATCCTCTCTGACGAGAAGATGGGTTTGTCTCTTATAAATACGCTTCGCCTTTGTCAAGTGTACGTATCACACATATAGCGCGTTATTGAACATTCTTCCTTTTGCAATATACAAAAGTCCTGTCAGTACAGGCTTTGCAAAGCAGATCATGGTCGTCTTACGAACCTTATGCTACAACGCCAGCTTAGTTAAATGAACGGTCGTACGCTTGACCACCACCAAGTTTAAGCCTCTTATACTGTATTTCCTATGTCTGGCTTCTACTCATCCTATACCAGGAACATGTCCATTCTAATGATTCTGTATGACTTCTGACTTTTCCTTCAATATATTGTTATATAATCGTATAACGTAGTTGGTATAGCGACTGGCTACTGGCTGGACTACAGAAGGGTCGGAGTTCGAGTCCTGGTAGGACAAAAAATTTTCTCTTCTCCACGTCATCCATACCGGCTCTGAGTTCCTTTCCCAGGGAGTAAACCGACAGGGACGTGAAGCTTACCACTCACATTCAGCTAGTGCCAAGGTCAAGAAAATATGGATGTATACATCCACTCCCCCATACGTCTTCATGACACAGTGCTCAAATAGTTAAGCACAGGGACAGCTTTGCTTATTTTTATTCTATACATACCGAAGGTTGAAAGTCGTATGCAAATCCGGGAAATTTAGTAGCCTGTACACTTACGTCTGAATGCTATTACAAGATCTAGTTCGTACCTCACAGGAAACACTGGGCCTCCATGGAAAAGACCGACCGTTTGATGCTGCTTAGGGACATGTTCGTTATATATTGTGAGAATCCAATAAAACACCTGAGTGCACACAGACGGCAAAATGCAGAGTTTCTGAATACTAAACCAAGTGGAACATATTGTTACCACTTGCGCTAAATGATATGCAGTTCAAACAACATGTGAGACCTACCTGCCTGAGAGCCGCAGGTGTTTCCGAGACAGTGTAATTAGCAGGGCCGGGATTTTGATGACATGTCATCTTTTTTTTCCTTGTATCCTATCCGATGCTCTTAAATATATAAAACTCGGATATGAGCTGCTGGTTACAGAAATGTAAATTTCATAGGTAATTTTTTGTCATTTTTTTTTTCCATTTTTAGGTTTAAGCTCATTTTTTCATTTTGGGGGTAATTTTTGGGTAAATTTTTGGACTTCTAAGGGTATTTCTTGTCATTTTTGGCCATTAAGGAATTTTTCTTCATGTTTTCTGAAATGTGAATAACATGAAAGCGAAGTGTTTTTTCTCTCCTTTAGGTTATTTTTCTCGATTTTTCGGTCATTTTATAGGTCACTTTTTTTAATATTTTCAGGCCATCAAAATCCGGGCCCTGCATATTACATTTTTGGGTCACATTTTAGGTTATTTTTCTGTATTTTTTCGGTCGTTTTATATGTCGTTCTTTTAATATTTTCAGGTCATCAAAATCCGGGCCCTGGTAATTAGATACAGCTAACATATCTTGTACTGATGGGCATAAATCCCCACCTCCCCTCCCCCTTTGTACGGAGAGGGGGTCGGGCTATGTGAATGTAAATGCAAGGACGATTATCAGAATTTTGTTTTTTTCTGCTTCTGGTTGAGTGCTCCTGGCTTCTCGTGCTGCAGTAATGTGGAATTTGAAAGGCTAATCTACGTACAAATACCCAAATATCTTCGAGGTTCAGAATTACTGTCTTCTGAGGTATGGAGCCGTGTAAACTGGTTTCAGTTGACAGACGTTTCGGAGGAAAGTACTCACTCCATGTTCAGGGTTGCTAGCTTGGCTTCCTATATAAGCCTGAAGATGGAGACAGTACGTCCCTCCGAATGGTCACTGTACTTCTCTCACACTAGGACGAGGCAGCTTTCAGTTTGGTAGCTAAGTACAAAATTTTCTGAGAAACGTGCTAAAATGTTGAGGTTCATGTAGACTCAGATTTGCTACTGTAATGCGTTTATCATTTTAGAGCCCAGAGGTAATTATATATACCGTATTATTTAACACCACAAATTCTGCATTTTGCCCACATTTTGTGTTCATATATATATATATATATATATATGCTCGTACGTTCAGTATGGTTCTCACAGTAAACAGCGACTGTTTCCCTAAACAGCATTAACCGGTTGGGCTCTGTAGCGAGACGTAATGAGTTTCCTGTGAGGTACTGACTGAATTGCTATATATTCTGCCCACACAGTGTATCTGTATGTTCCGTATGGTTCTCACAATAAACAGCGACTGTTTCCCTAAACAGCATTAACCGGTTGGACTCTGTAGCGAAGACGTAACGTGTTTCCTCTGAAGTAAGGACTGAGTTTCTATATGTTATGAAGACGAAAATTCTACCTTCCAAATGTTATGCGCCTCACACGTGTCAGTAGAAACTTTTATTCCTCTCACTAAGAATATTCGGCGAGTTCAAACCGCTGTAATATTATTACTACAAGACATACATTCATTCATACACACATACCCCAAGTGCAAGCCAAACCCTGTGACGCACGCATCAGCTGATCAGCACTGCACACGACCTCACACCCACCTCCATCACCAACCGGAGCACAACCTGCAACAATCTTGTACAGAAGACAACTGCTAGATTTTCATCTATGTCGTCCTACACTCTTTCCCTTCCAACCCTCCCTCTTTGGACGTTGTCACAGGCCACCACCCTGCCTCGCTTCCCCTTCAGTTTCACCACCACATCTTCCTACGACTACTGCTCCAATTTCCCTCACCCTGCTAGGGTAATACATAATGAACAATGATACACACATCCATGTCCAAGAGAGAGACGATCACAAACTTCATTGTCGTTGAGGGATGGTCTTCAAG